ACATCTCTCACGACCTCAAAATGGCCACCAGCAGTGCCGAATATGTCATGACCGAGATTCTGCCGCGCAGCTCGGACCGAAGCAGCATCTTTTTTCTAATCGTGTACAATAGCCCTAAGGACCGAGGACAGCGCTTCAGGGCCCTCATAAAGAAGGCCGTCAACCTGGCGGGTCCCAACCCCCTGGTTGTGGCGGGCGATTTTAATGCTCCGCACCACACTTGGGGCTACCCGTACAATACCAGCAAGGGTGCGGAACTGTGGCAGAACGTGACTGACATGGCCCTGACTTTAATCACCGACAGGGCCTTTCCCACTCGGTTGGGCACCTTATCCTGCAGAGACTCGACTCCTGACTTGACCTTCGTCAAGAATCTCCCCGATGTACAGTGGGCCAACACGAACATTGACTTCGGTAGCGACCATTACGTCCTTGTGACGCAGTTCTTAGTGGTCCGACAGAGGGCATGGGAGTTTTCTTGGACAAACTGGGACCAGTTTCGCAAAATCCGCAATGACCGACCCCTACCGGCAACCAGGCCAAGCCTCGAGCAGAGGGTTAGCCAGCTCAGAGAGGACGTCATAAGTACCACGAAGAATATTAGTACTGACCTTCCGGTTGAAAAAAATAGACAGCCGCCTTGCCCACCTGCTCGAGGCCAAGCAGTCACTTCTCGCCCGCTGGAAAGGCCAGCGTCTTAATCGCAGATTGCGCAAGAAAATCTCTGACCTAAACAAAACCATAGAGGAGCACTGCCGCGTCCTCTCCAAGCAGCAGTGGGACGAGGTGTGCAACTGGGTAGACGACCAGATGCGTAATGGCAAGACATGGAACCAGTTCAAGCACCTGCTCAGCGAGACTAATACCAAAACTAACCAGAGGAACGTACTAGGGCGAGCCATGCATGAAGCCAAGCAGTCTTCTTCAGTAGAGGAGCTTTTGAAGCAGCTGGTGCAAAAGTACCTCCCTGTCGACTCGAACCCTGCAGCAATGTACCCCGAGTACTTGGGACCGGCCAACACTGAACTAGATGCTGAGATATGCCACAAAGAGGTTCGGCAGGTGCTCCACGGGCTCAATGGAAGGTCTGCCGCGGGCCGCGACGGCATAACTAATAAGACCCTGTGCAACCTGGACGACCGGTCAATCGACTACCTCACCGAAGTCATCAACGAGGCATGGAAGAGCGGCGAAGTCCCCAACTCATGGAAGGTCACACGCACCGTGCTCATTCCCAAGCCGGAGAGGCTACCCAACTTGGACAACATGCGCCCCATTTCACTCACATCCTGTGTGGGAAAGGTAGCCGAGCATGTGGTACTCAATAGGTTGACTCGGTACATGGAAGACAATGGGCTCTACCCGCACACCATGACTGGTTTTCGGACGAAGCTTTCGACGCAAGACACTATGAAGCTGCTCAAGCACAAACTCATCGACTGCAACACTCGAGACATGCGATCATTCTCATCCTCGACTTAGAGAAAGCCTTCGACAATGTTACTCACTCCTGTTGCAGTCGATTACTGAGCTCGGCCTTGGAGTCAGATTCTACGAATGTGTCAAATCGTTCTTGACCCGTAGGAGAGCCACCCTCAAATTGGGCGACCTTGTCTCTGAGGAGATCGAGCTGGGCTCACGCGGCACGCCACAGGGGTCAATGACATCGCCCACCCTGTTCAACCTTGTCATAGTCGGGTTGTCCAAGAGGCTCTCATGTATCGAAGGCATTAATCACACAATTTACGCGGACGATACTACCATTTGGTGCACAGGTGGCAGCAACGGGCAAGTCGAGCACTCCCTGCAGGAGGCCGTAGACACCACGGAAGATTACCTCCGTCCCACAGGCCTGAGGTGTTCCCAAACAAGTCCGAGCTCCTCCTCTACCAACCCACTAAGCGAGGACCCAAGCCCAAAAACTGGCTGCCGATCTTGAAGAGTGATATCAAGCTCTACACCGGAGATGCCGGCGGAATACCCAGAGTCGACTCCATTCGGGTGAAGTGATTCTTAAAAGAGAAAGGAAGAGAAAAGTGAGCCCCGTTACTGTCTGCTTCAGTGAGCGACACCTCCACAGTAGCTCACAAGGGATGGGGGTGAGGAGGAATAAAAAGGGGTAGTAGTAAAGGTGTAGGAAAGCGTAAGAAGAAGAAGAGAGGAAGAGACGTGAGGTGGTAAGCCAGAGCGAGGGACGACAAACTGAGGGGATAGAAGAGATAGGACAGATGGGAGCACGGTCACTGGAGTCCGAGGACGGGCACACCTGCGAGAGCTCCTTTCGGCGTCGATAGATGGCGTAGAGCAAGTCCAGTCGGTCAGAGCTACACTGTCGTCGAAGGTCGGCGGCGGCAGGAGGTGACGTAGGGCGAGCCCAGTCGACCAGAGCCACGCTGACGTCGGAGATCACAAGCGCGCGGAGCGCGCAAGCGCACAACCGGTCGGCCCGGAATCCAGCAAGCGAGTCCGACTCCATTCGGGTCCTCGGCATGACCATCGAGTCTAATGGTTCCAACGGCAAGACTATACTCAAGCTCGCCACCAAGACGGATAACGCGGTTCGGCGGTTGGCCAACCGCTACCAAGGCCTCAAGGAAGACAACCTAATCGGCCTGGTCAATGCCTTTGTGCTCTGCCACTTTTCATATGTCACAGCCATGCACAATTGGCAGCGTGCCGAGCGTGACAAGATCAATGTCTTGCTGAGAAAGATTACCAAGCGGGCCCTCGGTATCCCAGTCAGGACGCGCACCGAGCGCCTGCTCCAGCTCAGAGTACACAATACGTTGGAGGAGATTGCCGAAGCGTAGGAGCGGGCCCAGATTGCGCGCCTTTCGAGCTCCCAGACCGGCAGATATATACTCCGAGAGCTCGTTCACTCTCCGGCTGAAGTGGACGAGAAGATGAGACAGGTGCCCCGTGAGATTCGCGACCTCATCACCGTGGCACCGATACCAAGGAATGTCCATCCCGAGCACTATCGTGGTAGGCGACGGGCTAGAGCTGCCACTTTTCTCAAGCAGATTCACAGTGAGGAGCACGGCGTCAGCTTTGTCGACGCGGCAGCGTACCGTGAGAGCCGCGCCTTCTCCGCAGTCGTCGTCGACTCTAAACGGCAAATCACCAACTGCGCATCGGTTCACACTGACGATCCGACGATTGCCGAGCAAGTGGCCATCGCCCTGGCCATCCTGAAAGGTGAAAGGGAGGCCATCTATAGCGACTCTAAGTCATCTATTCGCGCTTTCGAGCGCGGTGTAATCTCCAAGAAAGCCCTACGCGTGCTCCAGAGTGGTGGCCGCAACGGTATCAAGAACCCAGTACTGATATGGTTTCTGCACGTACATGTTGGACAGGTCCAAGGTGCTCCCCCCCCAACCTCAACAAGTCTGCCTACGAGGCCGCGCGCGCGCTAACCGACGCGCCAGTACCGGGCAACGATTTGGGACCAACGAAGTTGCGGAAAACAGGGACGCGCCTGCCACGTACAACGAAATAAAACATTTTTACCTCGCTTGAAGACTATATCACCTCCCTCATCCAAAACTTAATAGGCCACAGGCCCTTACGCTCAGACTACTGCAGGCCGACATGTACCCTGACCTGAGATCCCTTTACGCTATTTATCCTGACGTGTTCCCCAATGATGCTTGCTCCTCATGTGGGGATGTATCCACGCTGGCGCACATGCTCTGGGAGTGCAAGGCAATGTACACTAACCCCAACACTACATCGGTCAGGTGGGAGGCGGCCCAACGCAGCTCCCTCCTGGCCGACCAACTTTGGGCCGTCCAGCAGGCCCGCGGAGCGGCCGAAAGACTTGGCCAAATGGTCTCGTTGTGGGAGTCGTCCGCTGCGCGCTGACGCGCGCCTTGCAGGACCACAATGAAGTTTTGCAACCAAATTGCCCAAGTATGAACGCTGAAGCTTGAGCAACATTGGTAGGCGCTGCGGATGGTATCGACCATTTCAAGTACCTGGTGCCATTAAAAGTTGACAAATAGACAAATGTACAGACAGAGAGACCAAAAAGTTTTGCGTCAAAGATCCCCAAAAAGACTATCGTCTTTAAAAAATGAAAAAAAAGTGTTTAAAGGTATAACATGAGCTGACGAAGGACCGCATCTACTAGTCCCCTTGTCATTCCCTTCCCTACTTAACTTTTAGTACCGTGGCTAAAACAAGAGAAGTGAGAAAGAACTTGCATGCTATAAATCTCGGTAACTCCAGTCAAAGTTCCTTAACTATAAAAAAATTGTTGGCATGTTTTTCATGAAGTGTTATTCGCTAATAGCAAGAATGTTCCATTATAAATGTGAAAAGTGTTGCAGGTCACCTGCAACACTTTTCAGGGTTTCAGCTGAGGTAAGACAAATGCTTTTACTATAAAACTTTGTTACCTTACACCTCGAAATTAAAAGACTGGATAATTTGGACTCGTCCTCTCTTCCTGGCCACCATGTGCTTTATTATTGGCATCAAATTCATCGATTCGGAGACATTTGGACGCACCTTGTGCCATTTAAAAGGCCACCGTAGTGCACCAAACACGAAGCACTGCAAATGTGTGATCCATAAGAGCAATAACATTGACTTCATCTAACCAAAATGAAGTGAGCTCCCCACTGCTTATCTTTCATTCTACAACTCTTCCGATGTATATATATCTTCCCGTGTTGTATGTTTCCTTTCTTGTGTATTTAACAAAAAACAATGGACCATCTCCCGAAGGGAACCTTCGTGGGATTGACAGCACGGTGTTGACCCGGTTGAAACGGCCGTTGACACGAGTGCTGAAAGAACAGTCGAAGCGAAAGTCTGCGTAGCGTTTACCCGAGTAAACGTTTGTTTGAAAGGCAAAGACACGGGAGGTGGAACGCGTTCAAGACGCTTGCGCTCGGCTTACTTGGCTTGCGTCTTGGCGGTGTTACCCACGCACTGTTTGCATTCTCGAACGCGATCGGTGTTCTTGACTCGCACCTGTTCTTGGTGTCCCTGGTCTTCCACTGCTGATGCTTCCATTCAGCTTCCCTGGCTCAAGCCTCGTGAGTGTTGACATCGCCATTCGTGGATGCAATCGGCTTCACTAACCCTCGGAACGCCTGCGACAGCCAGAAAAGGTACGCGCACACTAGCAGGAAGCATGCCTTGATGGCGTTCCGCCTGTCGGCACGATCGCGCGGCAAGCAGCGCCGCACCCGCACCCGCCAGCTTGCGGTTTCTTGCCGAGAAATAATGAGAGGTGGCGCGGGTAAGATGATGCCCATGCGAGCCGTTGCAAGCGGTGAGAGAGCTGACACACGGCGAGCACATGGCATGCCTGGGGGAGACACATCCCCGCGCACTGCTAGGAGGGCGTAAGCTACTTGGCACCGCTCTAACATCTGTGGCGAAAGGAGCGGCGCGGACGGAGGGGCCGCGTTACACAAGCTAGTCAAAGAGCTGCTCCGCATCTAATAATGTTCACATTTCACCATCTATCAGCTGATTAGGAACAGAATCTAATAATGTTCACAATTCACTAGCTATCTACAGCTGGTCGAGAACATAAGAGGGGCACAAAAATGAGTGAAAAGGCATTGGCACAATTTTACGATCGTAGCCAATCTCAACAGATTGTTTATATTAAAAAAAACCAAATGAAATTACATTCCTCAGTAGATTGGGTGCTTCTATAAACCATGCATTTACCTTGATCAGCAGGAAGTGTCGAGCCCTCCGCACCCACTTCTTGTGCCTCAGCTGTAAATGCAGAAGAAGATGGAGGTCACCAAAAAATCTACAGTCGATACAGTTACAGTAGGCAATAGCATCTATACCTTAAAGATGGATGCCTAATGCCTGCACTAATGAGGGTGCAGCCTAGGCAGACATCACAAGTCACACGGTCAGAGAGGGGTACAGTTACTTTTGTCCCAGAGAAATCGCCTTCTGCACTTCGGTCATGGGAGCTGGGCCTCTCCTGCCTTCTTTATCTCTCCTGCCTTCTTATTAACAAGACATGCATAAACATACGGGCTCAGCAGTTGGGCATGGCTCAGAGTAAGTGCAGTGCATCTGCTTTCGTAGAACAGACCCTTTTCATAAAAGGGCGCTTTAAGCGCCCTCTACACAATCTACTCGAAACCACCTTGTTTAGGGCACCGCAGCAGACAACCCTGTCTGCGACTAGGGTGGCCATCACTGCCATTGCCGGTGTGTAATGTTTCCCTAGCGTGGCAACCAACCTGCGTGTTATGAACTGTGCCAGAAAAGCAAGTCGCTAAAGATGATTTGAAAGGGAAAAGAAAATTTGTGTGACAGACCGATCTAAACCAACACAGCTATCGCATTTTTGCGCTAAGTGCATATGTTCAACAATTATAATCGTGGAAGCGTTAGGCTGCGTAGGCATACTGTGGATTTGTATTCAATATGCTTGACCGCGTGCTAGATGGCACGGTAGTATTGACCGTTGTAAGCGTGTTGCAGGCACCAATTCTGTATTTGATGCTGGCGACGTGTGATTCCGACATCACCAGCTTTGAGTGAAAATGGGAAGTAATACATTGACAGCAGCACGCCTCAGCGTTAGAAAGCGTGCGGAATGAAACTCCCAGTTTGTATATGTAACCTCAGTGGGGTCAGGACGGTAGCGAGAGCTGTGCAATAATGACGGCAAGCCACCATACTATGCCAAACAGAATGCCGCTGCTGGCAGCCAAGTTGTCGTCACACCTCAACACATCTGACTACGCTACATTTCACACATCATGTGCACCGCTGTTGAAGTGACGCAAGAAGCTCGGTCAGCAAAATGTGTAAATCTGCATTCACCATTGTGAATGCTTTTGTGAGCCAAGCGGGAGCCTGCGCATAAGGTGTCGTGACCGGCTACAAATGAAATACCTGAACAACGAAACATCCAACGATGTAACAGCACACTAAAAGCCCCATAACAGGGTTCATTTATATCTGATTAAGGCACGAATGACCTTCATGAATTGATTTATTAATATGGGGGTTTAACGTCTCAAAACCACCATATGATTATGAGAGACGCCATAGTGGAGGGCTCTGGAAATTTCGACCGCCTGGGGTTCTTCAACGTGCACCGAAACTTGACCACACGAGCCTACAGCATTTCCGCCTCCATTGGAAATGCAGCCGCCGCAGCCCGGATTCGATCCCGCAACCTGCGGGTCAGCAGCCGAGTACCTTAGCCACTAGACCACCATGGCGGGGCGACCTACATGAATTACTCAGCCTGAAAAAAGAATATGAAATCGCAGTCTTGTCGGTACCTATTTGTTGGTGCAAACACATTTTTTCAAAGTCTTCCTAGATTGTACAGCATTTCACTGTTCTATGGTACAGAGTACGTGAAAGCGGTCAGCACTGGCTGCTCAAGACTTCCCGTCTTGCGCGTCCACCTTATTTTGCAGGATAGCCACCATTGTACTCTTCAGTGACTATGCTGCTACAGTTATGTGGACACAAATTCCTGTAAGAAGCTTTCAGCACTGACGAGCAATATTCATCGTTCATGGCTACTGAAGTCCGCGCTAGATGAGCTAGAGTCCGCCTTGCCATGGATCCGCATCAATTCGTTCGTCCACTCGGTCGACGAGTCCCTCATTACGATGTCGAAGTTGGCTGCACTACCTCTGCAAAGCAAGGCACGAGTGCACAAGCAGGGATTATGGAGACTGTAAAGTGCAACCGCATAGCACCACGCACGAACATGGCAAACATAGAGAGTCATGGCCCTTTGTCGTAAACATGACCAATTCTATATAAGAACTCTTTGCAAAACTAAACTGACGAAGAGCCCACCGTTAGGTGGCGTACATATGAAAAGGGTCTACTGTACTTTATAGGGTTCTGCAATACTAGTTTGGCATAGTTACTATGCCTTCATAGTTGCCATAGCACGTTCCTATGAACACTGGAGTCAAACCTATTCTGCTTGCACAGGAAGGAGCTCACAATTTCAGCAAAAGCCCATTCCTTTCCGGTGAAGAGTAACACCAAGAACAATATTTTCTTACTGTCGACACAAATTTGGGGAGAGATGAATTAATGAGAGCCCTAGACTGAAGCAAATATAGTAACTAGGAGGATTAAAGCATTGAATGCCAACTTGGGCAATCTTTTGAAGTCAAGAGGTATCAGTGAAGTGCACTGTGTTGGCTACACAGCATATTTTTATAATTTCTTCAAAAGAGGCTTGGCAGCTGTGCAGAGGCCTCATAGTAACTGTATTAAGTACCTTATATTCAACTTCTTATGCTATTCTATAGTTACTTACATTTCGCTGTTTTATAAAAGGTGGCATCCACCAATGAAATTGGAAAATAAATGGTAGACAACAGTAACAACAGAGTCCAGAAATCTGGTGTTCATAAGATGCCACATGCATGAGGAAAGCAGCAGTGCTGGGGCTTCGTATTCTCTGCCGTCATGTAGTGCTTAACATATCTAAATTTAAGCACCAGGGATCACTTGAAATTTCCCACCATCTACTTAGGAATAAAAAAACTGTAGAGGTGATGAGGAGAGTCTAGAGGTAAGGGATGTTTACATGGTGAAAGTGTTCTGTCTACAGCAAAAAAAAAACTAGTCGCTGAAAAGAATTCAGTATGACAGTGTCTTACGTATTTTTATGAGAAACAATATTTGCCAACTAGAATATTGATGTAACAGCCGTAATGATGTACAGAGGGGTCAAGGTCAAGTAGATTTGTTCACCCTCCACATCCGCACCTCCACCACGCTCTCCTTTGACTTTCCACCAATTCCCTCAACTTAATTTGTGAGCTGCAGGAACTACGCCAACCTCATTCTAACACTTCCGAGAATCGACAATGGTTCAGACAAAGCACAAGAAAATTTCTCCTGATCACCTCTTTTCCAGCTTTCTAACATCCCATGAAGTGACTTTATAATTATGCTGACAACTATATACATTTAAAATATTACACTCTCAAATTTCTACTCACGTATCATAACTGTAGACTTTCTTAAGGAGTGAAGTAAAAGGCCGCAATCAAAATACTGCAATTTAACAGTATTGAGTCTAACAAAGTCAAAGAAAGTTTTCTTTCCAATAGCAAACCTGGAAATGGAGCCATTTTGACATGAGCTCTCAGAGCTTAAAACGCACCAAGAGGTGCCGCCCGCATCTCAACAAGTGCCTTGCTATGTGAAGCGGACAGCACCATGTTCCTTTTCAAGAGCTCCTGTTTTTACTGTGACAACATCTAGCAATCATTTCACCTCAGTGCTATTTAAAGATGACATAGTTTAGGGTACCAGATATCAAAATTGGGACTTCAATCTAGGCAACTTGGTTCATAGTCAACTGGAGATAAAACATGACTGGGAGACTTTCCCTAACTGAGACTTCCTGGCTTAAATTATTCACTACTGAATGGCTTGCTTAACAGTAGAGGGTAGGACACAATTAAAAAAAAAAATCACTCTGATTTTTTTTTTTTTGCAATTTCGGAACGGTGTCTTTTTGTGCATATTTACCACATCTGTGCTTTTCTTAAGCAGCATTTTCGTGGCACGATACCTGTTTTCTCAAAAACAGTTTTTCCAAAAGCAAGTAGTGAGTAGCACAAGCCCCTCGTATGCGCTCTGTGCTTACGACCCATTTTCGAATACCCTTGTCACACGGGCACTTAAAAGTCTTTTAAGTAAGCGGTCTTTTTCCGAAATGGAGTTCCTGACAGCGGACACACGGCACAGAGCGAACTCCTTTTCAGAAGCGGTCTTTTTCGTAAACGGAGTTCGTCGATCTCTTTTACGGCTCCGAATGAGTAGCCTCGAAACCAGTGGGCGCCAGCAATTTTCGAGTGGTGGGAAAAAAAGAGCGAATGCTTATTTTTCTGTCACCAAAACTCTTTGTAAAAACAAATTTCATATCCTACAGAAGGTGTAATGAACTCTTTTAATGGTTATTTCCTTTTCTACTCTTGTAAGCAGCTACAACGCGTCGGCAATATCACGTGGTGACTCTCGGTCTCGCGCCGCGCCATTTTGCACAAGCGAGGAAAGCGTGGCAGTCATGTGTTTTCCCGTCATTCAAGTGGTCAAGCTTGTATAGGGCAACGCCGACTCGCTTCTCAGGAGTGATGGTTTCACGCATGCTGGTGCACTGTCTTTCGAGCTCACTGCGCAAGCTCTCCACAATGAAACGAAAGGTGGATGGGTACACTCGAAAAGATTGCTTGAAGTTCTGCTCACCGAGGTGAGGTACAGTTCCCTCGAACCACCTCTCGTTTCGTCTGAAGGCCCAGATCGATCGATCGCAGGCCTTCTCCGACAGCTCCAGTGCGCACAGCAAGGAATTGCTGAACAGCAGTTGCTGCTTCATCCTCTCCTTGGCGGCTTTTCCAGCGTCTGCCTCGCTTTGCAGAGCGAGAAGGCCGGCCGTGAGGCTTGGGGTCCTCGCTTTTTCTTCCGTACGGTCGTCCATAACGTGTCGAGAGCAGCGAAAAACAAATACGATAAATAAAAGCCCAGTGGTGCCAGACGGACTTGTGCACGTCGCTAGTTATGGGAATGCTTCCTTAACTAGTGCAACAAACTTTCACATTGGTGTTTCTTCATCTCTTATTCTTAAATTTATTTGAAAAAACGAGCAGTGCAACAAGTCTTTATTTTGTACATCGTGATACATCGTTTAATTTTCATTGCTTCTTTTTTAACTGCTAGCGCCACGCTTTCGCTAGCGTCTTCGAACGAAAACACTAAAAGGAGATCGTTGCTGCCATGTGTCTGCGCCGCATCACCTCTTTGTTAAAAGTCTTTCAACTTCGTAAAAGACCGCTTACTTAAAAGACTTTTTGTGCGCCCGTGTGACACAGGTATAAAACTTATTGTACAGAAGTCAAAATGCCTGTCTAGGGTCCCCTGTGTAAAGAAAATTGTCAGGTGACTCATGCGGCAGTCCGAAGACACTGAGCGCCTTTATATTGACACTTCTTTAGAGCAGATCATTGTGAACACATTCAGCTCCTAGCTTCATTACACCTTGTGTTTGTCACACTTGTCAATAACCCTTGATGCTGGGGATAAAGAAGGTCTTCAGCAAGTGTAAATTTCCCATTAGCCCATACAGTTCTCTAATTGCCAGGGACATAGTGAGGCACTGAACACTGAAACAGCAAGCTCTTTGAACCTCCCAGCATTTTCAGCGTCCTAGCAGGCAAACTATGTGCATGGTGATGAGTATGCTGATTGGACAAGAATTCAGCATGCAATAAGACTGAATAAGCACATGAGAATGGCTTGTTATAAGTCTTGGGTTAATCAAAATTAAGCCACTGGGTCTTTCCTGTCTTTGGGCTCGGAGCCGTAAGAATTGGGACATTGAATATTATTCTTCCATTTAGTAATGGTAGTATCACACGAGCCAAAATTCTTAAACAGGATTGAAGTCTGGAGAAACTACAGTCAGTTTGCTGGAAAATATTGACCCCACTTAACAATACATTGCAGAGAGAGATGCACACAACATTTCACAAAAGAAGCAAGACAAGCTTACAAGAGAACCTAAGTGAAAAATTGACTTTGGCAATGATTAGCAAGCTTGTAGCTGCTAAATGAAATTGTTGAACAGTGGCAATAACAAAGTTAGATTGCTTTTCAGCCGCTTTCCGACTTCAAGCTTGATTATCTCAAACTACGTTTTTTTTATTAGGTACCATTTCCTATGTATTCCAGGATAACCTTCGGATTATTTTTTTTTTCTTGCATTACGCATAAATACATACAGCTATTGAAGCAGAACTGAAGTGATGCACTTTATAAATTTTGTGTTACAAGTCTTGATAGATGCCAATTTCTTCAAAAGTTAGGTCCTAGTGGTAAAAAAATGCAAGAAATATTAATATAATCTAGATTTTATTATATCTGCTTTAGTTAAAAGACCAGAAAATTTTGAAGAAAATGATGTATGGGTTATGTGAATATCTTTTTTATTTACCGAGAAAACCGTACCTAAAATGCATGGGAAGTATAGGGCCTATCTGGTGCCCTTCACACTATTTCCTTTGTATGCCCAAATCAGACAAAAGCACATTAAAAAATTGTAGGTGCTTACCTTTCCATGAGCTTTTCTCATTCTCGAAAAAATCCCTCAAGACTACGACGAGTTGTGAGGATCCTGTACATTCCTCTTCGTTGTAATCTTCGTCCTCCTCCTAACTGTATTCAGCGTGACTGCTGTCGTTTGATGAAGATGAGTCAGATATGTTCTGTGAATCCGGTTTTTTCTTATTCTGCTCAACAACACTTTCGGCAGGACTGATATCCATGGAGTGTCTTGAGTAATCTTCATCCTCCTCTTCCACATTCTCTTCTTCATCTTCACCTTCATCTTCTCGTTCCTCTTCATCGTCCCCCTCCTCATCTTCATCTGCATCTTAACTCTCGTCGCTTTCACTAGGATGTGAGGAGACATCACCGTTGTCTTGCTCCTGTTCTTTAGCCTCCAGTTCCAAATCATCCTGTTTGGCGACATACACCTCCTTGACCTGTACATACAGAGTAAATCCCTTAAAATATATTATGACATACTGTGTAACAATCCAAATCGTTGGATTTGTCACCATTGCCCCAACATGAAAGTAAACTCTACAATTCTCTCCGACATATCAGATACGAAAATAAAATTCTCTTCTTTGCAATTTTTGTCCCCATTCTCACTGCCCTCACTTTCATGGCTGTTGTTTGATGAAGTCTGCTACACACCTGGAAAGAAATTTTGTGATTTTTTCGATGCTGTGGCTGATGAAGAATTATGCCTGAAGCTTTAGTAATGGGTTGGAGCATTCGACGAACGACTCGGTACGCAATTCGAATTGTTTGACGCGTGAGTATTCCTTGGCTTTTCTAGAACGCTTTACGACTCATATTAACGCAATTCCTTTCTGAACATCAAGCCTGCCTAGGCTCAGTTTACAACGAAGTTTCAAGTGTAGCCGTGGCTCAGCAGTAGAACACTTGACTGGCACACACAGGACCCGGGTTAAAATCCCATCATGACATTTGTGTTTTTTATTCTACATTCTTTTTTTTCTCATTTCGCGCAAAAGTGGTTACGAAGACAGGGGGTGGTGGTGGACAGCTACGCATGACCCGTGTTGTGATCTCATAACAGCTTCCACTCTAAAAGTAAAATGTTTGCCGCGTACTGGCGTGACGAGGCAGCGACAACAGCAAAGTCCACGAAGGCACAAGAGGAGTGTACGCTTCAGCATCAAAATAACGCAGTTGGTTTTTGCAGGTTAAACAAGTAGCATGTGTTTCCTTCTGCATCCCTCTATATGTCAAAGACAATTAACATCGCCACAAACAGACTAGTGTGGCGAATTCAAGAAGGAGCATTGCATGCATACTTAAAGGGACACCACAGTCAAATATTAAGTAGATGTCGATTGCTGAAATAGCAGTTTAGAAACCTTGTGGTACTATTGCCGAGAAAGTGCTTATTTTGAAATAAAATCACGTTTTAGTGGTCCATATCATGTTAGTACGTTTTAAATTACCCGGCTAAAGTGGAATCTTTCACGTCACTGTTGCTGTACACAAGGCTTCCCATCTTTACTGCGCAGCCGCCAAAACTAGTAGCAGCAAAATGAAACAAGCGGCAACCACAGCAGCAACAACGGGCATTCATCAATTTCTTGCCATGGCTTTCGAGATTGAAGGCGTGCTTGGTTCAACTGGGCCCCGGTAGATGGCACGGCCTCTCTAGTTCAACCAGGCAAAAATTGAACTTTCCAACCACACACCATAGATAACGTCCAGCAGTTTTTTTTTCGATGAAACAAACAAGCAGCATTGTATTACGTCTCTTGATGCACAGAAGATTCTTTATTTAGTGCAGCTAGATACTACTATTGTAGGCAGTAAGTCTGACGTCATAAAGATCATTTTATGAATGTCCTACTCGTGGCGCATGTGTTCTCAGCATTTAGATTAATTTCTCGGTAAGTAGGGCACTGCTGTTGGTAATGTCGTTTTCGACGTTATCATACATAGAGCTTTCACTCTGACTTAAATTGTTACTTGACTTTGTTGTCGTTTTAAGAGTTGTGAGCTATCATGATCATAATGACTGAAAGAAAGAGGGGAAGAGCTTACTTAGTCAAAGGCAAATTCTTCATAACGCATTGCAAGTTTGAATACTTGTAATCAATAATATTTTTAAAACTAACATTCACAGTAATTCAATTACAGTCTCTTATAATCATACTTGCCAAGTTTCGAGAAATGGAATCCGCGACATCTACTCAACAGGGAGGGGGGGGGGCATAAAATGTGTCACCCGCGGGAGGAGGGGGGAGTCTTGCGATAGTTACTATATGAACATTGTCAGCTGAATTTTGCGGTCCCCGCTGATCTCTACAAAGTCCAAACCTATAACATCGATTATGCATCGTTTGTTTTACGTGCGGCTAAGGAAGAACGCGGCTGAAGCAGAGATGAAAAGACCCGGCCGTCACCGTTGCGTAAAGGGCACTTGCGATAACATCGCTCTGTGAGCGAGGCCTGTCGTCGCTTGCTTACGAGTTATTTCATCGGGCAAGGGACCATAGTAGAGTGCTGTTGTCAGATATGAAGGAGAAGAGGCGCCAGGGCGCTTTGTCTCAGAGCCTCACATCAACTCATCATCATCCGTACGTCTTTCCCGGCAATCCCCCCCAGGGTCATGTGAGAGTGAAGAATTGCTTTGGGCAGACGGCCATACCCTGGCAAGGAGGCCACCGCTTAGCGCCAAACAGACATGGCCTCTCTCCCGGCATACAAGCCAGGGAAACCCAACAAAGGGACTACCCTTCAGCGCAGCAACTTCGATCACAACACAGAAAGCGGACGTACCCTGGCAAGGTGGGCTGTAGCAGTGCGAGGGGCGCACTGCAGTCATGGCTCACCCAGCGAGACTCAACGGAAGGCCTGCTTTTTGGCACGGTAACTTCAGTCACCGCGCGCAAAGCGGTCCTACCCGGACCCTCGACTAAGAGACTGCCCTTCGGCACAATGACTTTCATCATCGCACACTAAGCGGACCTACCCAAACAGGTGACAACGGGACTGCCCTTCAGTGCAGTAACTTCAGTCACCGCACACAAAGTGCACGTACCCTCACACTGTCGCACAGATGGGAGCCTGCGACGTCCTTTCAGGACAAATGGGCTATCCTTCGGCGCAAGGCGTTTTGCGGTCATGGCCTGTCTTCTTACCACTAGGCCGCAGTGAGACGCAATCCGTCTCAAATATAGTACAGTCCTGGGGACCCCTCGCCTTCCCCCTTCTCCGCTCGTAGCCCAGAAGCGTAAGAAAAGAAAACAGGCACTTTTTCTAGCAACCTTTGCGAATGAGTAAAACAAAAAACTAAAAATAAGAATGGAGAAAAAAGGTAAGGATATGGGGAGGAGCGCTTGATAAGGAAGATGGCAATAAAAGAGACAGTGAGAGGAGAAAACAGTCGGATTAAAAAAAGAGAATAGTGTAAAAAAAAGTTCTGACTTGCGAAAAGGAGAAGCACTGGTTAATCGTAGCAAGCAGCTTAAAAAAGCCCTGCCATTAGTTACTTGAGAGAGAGGAGAAAGGCACCGCAAAAGGAAAGGCACAGAAAGTGCGCAGTGAGGTGTGGGAATAATCATGCGCAGTTCCCCTTTTGATTACTAGTCGGGGAGAGTGAAGGTCCGTCACAGCATTGCCCCCCTCCCTGTACATCGGAGTCGCCATGCCCCTCCCTATTATGTCAAAGTAAAGCCCCCCCCCCCCCCCCCAGCTCCAAAGATTAACGTTCGCATGTCTACTAGACGTGTGGGTGTGTCCGTAGGATGGAACAGCCACAAAGAGGGCAGCTCATTAATTCGTGCGTGCCGTTCGTTTACAAACACACGCTTGTCCAGCCGCGTCACGTCAAGCAAGCACTTCTGTCAGAGGCGCTGGCTATCCCCTTACTCTCCCTTTTTTTTCCCTCTCTCACGTGCGCTGTGGCACCAGCAATTCATTGTATGGTAAATGCGAACTACGTCCTAGTCAGCATTTTGGGAAAACACCAGTACGAAACGTGGACGAGATTGGGCTTTTTTTGTACGCCACAATCTCTTCTTGCATGTAATATCAATGATAAACATTCCTCAGTAGTCTATCTGGCACAAAAACCGGTACCGGTACGGTTTTCATGCCAAACAGACGGGGATGTTTGACAGCAGCTTGAATGGCCGACGGGCCACTTCCTACATCGGGAAACCAAGAATTTCCAAGAAAAGATGCGGCAACACAGGAACGACGTCAGTTGAACAGCAGATGGAGTGCAGTGGCACAGCACTGAGAGCAGTCTGAGCATCATCACTTCCTGGAATGCTGGCACATTCAACAGCCAGCAAAGCATCAACCGTAGTACCATGGAGCCACTGCCCTCACTCTACTACATCGGAGTTCTCTCCTTTTTTTTTCGTTAATGTGCATGACCTTCAAAAACTGCACAGCCATGCGCAATTTCGCACCTCCTACTCGGCAGGTCGCATGTTCTGCACTATTTTCACATCTCGAAAACGTATACTGAAAAGAGTTGAACCTTGCTACCATCATTTTAAGAAGAAGAAAAAGAATCCTTTTTACTACAAGGCCAGACAGCTTAGCTCAAGTGGCCAGACTACGCACTGGTCGCGCGGGGCAACACTAGATTTCCGGGAGATTTTCCTATGACCGGTACAACTTGGAGAAACATTCAAAATCCGGAGTCTCCCGGGTAGCCCTGGAGAGACTTGGCAGGTATGTTAGAACTGATTGCAGTGATGCTACGAAGGTCTTCCGATTAGGCGTAAGTTTTGAAACAGTGAATTTTTTTACTTTGGAGCACTTTGGATTAGCAAAATTTTCCATTTTTGGAGCAATCTGGCACAGCTAACTTGAAATCCTGGAGGAGAAGCAAGTTGGGTTTACATTCAAGGGCGGGCGTGAAAAATTATTCTGAGGCTCTTGTGAAGAGCCAGAAATATTGAGATTCATTGCAAATTTTATAGTGCCAATAATCTAAAAGCACTCCCTAGTAGAGTTGATAATGTAAGAATAATGGCGTCATGCTGTTGAGCATTCTCGAAAAACTTGTTCAGTGATTATTTTCGTAGCAAATAAACAGAATACTGCTTGAATAAAATTGTACTTCCCGAAATACCGATATAAATACAACACCTATGTGGTTATCAGCCGATATGGTAGACAAACGCTGTGATGTACAACGTTAGAAGACTTGCACAGTCCCAACTGCCTTTCCACAAGATAAATTCAAGAATAAAGAGAGGTTCTTCACGATTGATTAGACTGCCAGGCGTGGCATGACGTCATTCAGCTAAAAACCAACCTCCTCCGGCACGCATCTCTGTGCCGAAAACTACAGAACAAACTTCTTTTTCCTTTTGCAGCGATATATTATATGGCTAGGAGGTTCTGTATGTACACTCGAAAAACCCCCCTATCGTGTCCTCTCGAAAGCAGAGCATAAAAAAAAACCTCA